TGTTGGACTTTCCCCATCTTGCTTATCATCATGGGTATTTTCATCGCGTTCACTCCCATATATAGAGCAATTTCGCAATAAAACGACATTTGATCAAGCATGTATCTTCTTCGATCTTCAGAGTTAGCCACCTAAGGTATTCTTATCCTTTGATATGTGTCATATAAAACTTCATACTCCTACAACTATCCGTTTTTTATCTTTCACATGGAGAATTTGTTGCGCTGTCAGCACAAGAGTATGAGCAATAAAAATGAAAATCAGTGTTGATACGGACAAGAAATGATAGTGATAATTAACGTTGCATGTCACATCAGTTTACGGCCAATAGAAACAACAATTTGGCTAGCGGCTGAAATGTATGCAGCAAGCCACATAGAGCAAGCATATAATAATAGACAATGATTTTGAGAAAGAAAAAAGATTGTTCAAATCTTATTTTGCAGACTGATGATATACAGCGTAGACCGTCAATAGTAAGACGATTAGTAAAAATTGAAATATCTTTCCTCTCTATGATTTACATAAGCTGTCTTTTTATCAGTGATAGAAGAGTATTCAAAGGTTTTATTCATAAACAAAAACATCTAAAAATACTGCTCAGAACTAAAATCGTTGCCTTTAAAAAATATTTGTAGCCTTTCCTAAGAATTTTGAAATACATTATTTTAGTACATGAGAACTCGAAATCCTAGAACTAGTGCTTTATGCTTGAGACAAAATTAGTCTACCAATAGATAAAATATCAGGAATTCATGAGAATATGCTCTACATAAGAGATTTTGGAGCCCTTAAAACAGCTATAAATCTGTCTTGAAGCCAATAGTGTTAGTTACAAGTAATATGTCTTGAGGTTGTTTCTATGAATAAAAACTTTGAACACTCTTCTATCAGTTATAAAAAACCAGCTAATTTGAATAACATAGAGTATAGATACTCCAGTTTTTTTATCGTTTTACTACTAACGGCTCAATCTGTATATCTATGAAATGAAAACACGAGATAGATGATTCGGATCGAATTTTTCGTAAACAACACTGATTTGGCGTTTAAATAAACGTAGATCGGACGGAAAAGTCAGTTATAGAAAAAACCTATTTGCACTGATGCTCATCAATGATCTTGGAAATCTTATATCAAGTTTGTTGACGTATTTTAAGTATGATAAAAACAACTTAATCTGTTCAAATAAAATGATTGAACTGTGTTAGTAAATGAAATAAAGACGATTCTACAAGATATATTAATGAGAAGAAGAACAACTATAGCAAAAAACCTTAGAAATGGACGCTTTAAATGTAGGACTGTAAGATTTTGTACCATGTAAGTCAAAGACTTGTATCTCTAATCGAACAGAAAAAAAACCAGTAGTTGAATGCATGAAGATGGTATAATAAAAAAAAATCAATGAAGTTCAAATAATATTTTGAAGAATATATTTTCTTATAGGATATTTATTACTAAAATTTCTATTTCTTCAATTAATTTCGCTCAAAACAAGTAGTATCATTTGTTATTAATGTCTGTCAGCAAGTCAAATCAAGTAGGTTTTTTCTAACTATTAGGTCACATGAAACGATGATTCTATGTATTCTACGTCTAAAATCAATTAGAAATGATTTAAACTATTCCATACAACCAAATTCAACACAGAGTAGGCGAAACATTATTGAAAAGTAAGCTAAGAAAAACAACAAAATATCAATAAATAGTTTTATAAGATCTAACAACATATTCTTCAGATTGAATAACGCTTTTACTTATCTACTTTTTCTGATCGATTGATTATTCGTGAAATAGACTCATAGACTTAAATGTGAAATTCAATTTATTTCTTATCTTCAACTCATGAAGTACAGTTTACGTGAGCAAATTAAGCTCTATTTGAAATAACCACCATTTAATACATTATCATGCATTTCATCAATGATAAAAAATTTTCGTATAATAAGAAATATTTTTAATAGTGGAATCTATCACACATATTAATTTATTTTGTTAGTATATTATTGAACAATAAATGAAATAACGATTTGATACATTTCGAGGTCCTTTTGAAATACCAAATAAATTAGTAAAAACAAATAAAGAATGTTTTCAAAAAAAAGAACTAATTTATTTATAATTGTTTTTTTGATATATGTATATATAATGGACTGGTCAAATAAACTAGGCATCATCATTGGGTATCAAAAAAGATGATGAAACACCTGGAATAGACGTTAACTCCGTTGTCATTGATTGTTCTCCCACGTTATTATTATTATTATTATTATCATTATTATTATTATTATTATTATTGTTATTATTATTGTCATCATCGTTATTATTATCATCATCTATTTTAACTTCAGGTGGTAATGTTATTTTATTCATTGATTGAAGTGCACGAATAAATTCAGCTTAAAATGAACAAAAATAAATAAATAAATATTATTTAGATAAAATATTTCTTTACCTTTAGCATTACGGAATGAAACATTACATAAAGTTTCAATAGCTTGTTGACATGCATCATTTTGTGCAACATTTTTTGCTGCACTAACACCCCAAAATTGTTGATCCATAGCTGTAACACGTACAAGAACAAGATTTTCTTCATTATCAATTAATTCAATACGATTTTTTGTCAATGTTGAAGAACTTAATCGTTGATTATTAATAAAAATTTCATTAAATAATTGTAATGGTGTTTTAATAGCAATAGCTTTTGTTGTTAAATGTTTTCGAATTGAATCAATTAATGATGTTGGATCATTTTGTAATGAAGCAGGAAGTGTTGGAGTGAAACGAGTTTGTTGATATATATCAGAATCTTCACTAAGAATTGCT